CATGCTCAGTATGCCGTGGTGAAGTGGGAGCAGGAGAACCACGATACACTGTCGGAAGAGGAGAGAATGGGCAACAGGGCACAGTTGCTGGTCTGACACAATGATCAATCCTCCGGGACAGGGTTTCTGAAGACTCCCTACACTGTAGAGAAGCAAATTCCTTGGTTTTCCCGTCTGTCAGCCCCTTATTCTGCTCTCTGGAAGGGTCTCCCTTATTCATTGTCTCTTGGGTCCCTGAGCCGCTGTTGGTCCAGACCCCATCTTTGTATAAACTAGAAAAGGATGACCCTCTGGGTGGTTGCAGCCTTGCTGGGGTGTGGCTTTGGCAAGCAGATGGTGCCTTTATGCTAAGGAGGAAAGGGCAGCCCTTCTCCCCGGTTACGCGGCGCTGTGTCAGACTGAGTGCCTTGGAGAGTGGAGCACAGGCTGGATTTCAGCCTCTCAACTGAGTTTCAACTGGGCGTTTTTGTGCAATGCTCAACATCCACACCCATAGGTGGTGGTCCCGGTGGTCCTTGGCTCCCTCTCGGGGAGTTCTTTGTTCATAATTCTTCTCCATGGATGTATGTGAGGTCTGTTTGGAGAGGACGCCCTTCCTGGATGCTCCTGTGCTGCAGGTGTGGGTTTCGGGGCTCTGGGATTGTATTAGGGGTTAATCTTCCTGTGAAGCTACAAGGCTGATAAATGAATGAGATGGCACAAGAAGAGTGTGTAGTAAGAAGAGAAGAGAGTCTCAGATCCCTGAGCGGCACTAAGATTTAAGAGGTTGGTTAGACAATGAGGAGTCACTAACGGACGATGAGAAGGTAGGACAAGAAGCCAGGGGAGAGGAAGGAGAGAGTGGTAGCATGGAAACCAAGAGAAGAGAGGTTCAAGGAGGGACCGGCGACATGTGAGAGGGTGTTAAAAGTCAAGTAAGAAGAGAACAGAAATGGCTGTGGAGTCTGGTCTTGACTTTCAATTACATTTCGACCCCTCTTGTGGTAATTACTTTACGGTCTTGGGCAGGGTGCGTGTGGGTCTCTGGTTTTGCTATGAAGTGGTATTCTCATTCACTTTTCTGTGACATTTGGCCCTGATGAGCAATCCCTCTCCTCTGGTGCTTTCCTCCTTCAGCTTCTGCTATAAACTCTCTCCCTTATCTTCCTTCTACTTCTGATGGCTCTTCTCAGTCTTACTGGCTGGGTCCCTCCTTGCTGTCTCCCCAGGGCTTGGACATCAGCCCACTGCTCTTTCACCCATATTCCCCCCATTCACAATGATGTTCATTCCTGAGGTTTCGATTCCCATGGTGATATCTCCAATTTTGTTGATGCCTCCTGGCTTGTCTGTCTCTATAGACACATTTTGGACATGCTCATTTGGATGTCCCAGATGTATCTCAGACTCACTGTATTAGGACAAAAAAACTCATAGACTTTAAGCAAGAAAACAATATTATTGTTTCCTATAGCGACATATGTAAATTCCAAATTTCAAGCATGATTGGAACCAGAGTTTCAAGCTTTGTCCTCTGGGTTCCCTTTCTGTCTCTGTTTCTCTCTGTCTCTCTCTCTCAGTGTCAACTTCACCTTGGCTTTAGTTACAGACAAGCTTCCTCCACACAGTGGCGAAATGACCCCAGCACCTCCACTCACGTGCTACCAATTTAGCAACCTCAGATGAATGAAAGTTTTAAAAAATGGATCTGGAAAAAATGTCTCCAGGAAGATTACTGTTGGTCCACTTGGGTCATGTGCCTGCTACTGACCCGGTTTACTCTGGTTGGGATACAATGGTGGGCATAACTGAGTGATGGTGGCATCCTCTGGGCAGGGCTGAGTGGAAGGGATGAGGTTAGGCCCCCTCAGCCACCCTTTGTATGGGTTCTTCCTGCTTCCCTCCAGCCAAACAGAATCATTTCTTGTATCTCTGTGTCCTCGAAGGCTCTTTCACGTCACTGTTGCTTTGCATGTGATAGTCCCTGTGCTTTAGTCCTGACTCCTTTTCTAGCCAATTCCCACTTCTCTTTTACTCTAAGGTGGACTCACCTCCTTTGGGAAGCCTACCTGCATGCCTCAGTTGGATGAGATTGATGAGATGCTTGTGGTCCCATGAGACCTTGGGAGGTCCTCTGTCCCTACACTTATCATCTGGTCCTGTGATTATTGGTTTTCCTGTCTGTCTTGACCTGTTCTGTGAGATCCTTCAGGGCCAGAACCACCTCTTCAGTGGTGTATGCCCAGTGCCAGGTCTAGCTTAAACGTGTGTTGAATTGAAGCAATGGGTGAATTGTGACAAAGTATTGGAACACAGCAGTGAGGAACTATGTCACCCTTGGTGATGAAAACCTGTGTCTTTGTCCCGAAGACAGTGAGGGCCTTCTAAGGCAAATGCTACCATTTTTGGAGCCTGTATAATGGCTGTGATGAGAAAGGGTATTAGTGTCAGACAGAGCTGGGTTCAGATTGGGGTTCCACCTCTTACTACCCCTCAACCCTGGGTGAGTTACCTAACTGTCTGAGCCTCAGGTCTTTGTCTGTAAAATGGGGGTAGGTAACATCTACTTCCTAAGTTGTCATGAGGATTAAATGAGAGAAAGCTCATGTCAACAGCTGGTGGTGTGTTCCACAGGAGCACAACACACGTTACTTCCCCCTTACTTCTGCTTTATTCAGTGACTGTCCTCCTTGGGGCAGTCCTGGTCACAGCTGTTGTGTTGTCCTGTTATAATTATTAGCAGTTAGTCTTTTACTCTAAATGGTGTCCTGGCTAAGATGATAGAGTATATGGTCACCTTAATAATGAGCCCTGACGTGCCATCCAACCTGCTGCCAACAGTGCAGACCTGACTTTTGCTAAAATGATGACTGCGAGCCATAATCCCAAACAGACAACTCATGGTAAGGAGCAAAGGCAACTGGAGGTCATAATCCCAGGGTGGGCGCTTCCTGTGCACAGCAGAGACCACTGCAGCCATCTCAGCACCTGTGTGCCCCTGAAGGCTGAGCCCAAATGTCACCCACCACTCAGTGGTATTCAGAGGCTTCGTTTTCCTAAAAGAGACAGAGAGAGTTGTCGCTTTGTGGGTTTAAAAGACAGACTCCATTTCCTTTTCCTCAAACCTCATCCTTTCTGAACTGTCTGCTGGATGTTCCCTGCCTGGGAGTAAAATTACTTCCACTCGGTGCTCAAATTTTAGTCTCTTTGTCTTTATTTTTATTTTTATATCTGCACTTAGGTTGAAAACACTATTTGACTCTAAATGAAGCACCCTTCTATGATTGCAATTTCAGCATTTCCTGCTTCCCTAAACTATCTGAGTTCCTCAAGGATGGGGACCATGTCTGCTGCCATCATGTCTCTATCACCCACCACTGGTGCTTGGCACGTGGTGGATGTTTGACACATGTGTATTGAATGGATGGATAATGAATATGAATGAAATGGCCAAACCTGCCCTTGGCCTTGGGTGAATTTGCACGAATGGAGTGGGCTTTCACGTGCCACTCTTCCATGGCCCATGTGGCTGTAGGGCCTCAGTTCATCTCAGAGCAGTCCTAGGAAATGGCAGCCTGGGCTGGAGATGTCTCAATAACTTGGTAAAGATTACCGTAGGCTTATTTCAGGGGGTGGGCCTCCACAGCCAGGAAACCAAACTGTTAATTGCCCAAGTGAGATCCTTCAACGGAGAATCAATATTTAGTACCGTTGTTTAAAAAAACCCATGACATGATCTTCTCATCTCTCCTGATAGTAAAGAGGCAGAGGCTTTAGAGAAAGAAACTTGAAGGAGTGAGAGGAGGATTGAGGGGATGTTTGAATGCAGTGAGCAGGAAGGAGAGTCATTCATCCATATGCATATAATTCACGTGTCTGCTTGGTTCTTCCAGCTTAGATTGGATCCCGTGATTCAGACTTTGCCAGCATTCCTAGAGCTTGTGGAATACCAGGATCCATTCAGTCTTGTATTTTGTTATATGTTGCCCATGTTAGTCATGGTTTGGTCAGAACAGAAGTCACTCTAGGTATTTTAAGTAGGAAGAGGTTTAATACAGGGAATTAGGGATTTCCACGGCCATGGGAAGGTGGTAATATCGGCTTTCAGGAAATTAGGAAGTGCAGGGGTCTCAGGAAGCTGCCCACTGACCTCAACTGCTGCTCCAAGGGGAGTAACTCCCAGGAGGCTGCCCAGAGGTGCTGGGAGCTGTGGCTGGTGATTCAACAGCTTGCAGCACCAAAAAGGGGGATTCTCCAGAGGATACCCCCAAACATCTGCCTCTGCCAAATTCCCACCTGTCTGCAAACTGCTGCCCCTGGGACACGATGCCTTCTCTGTCTCCTCAGTCTTCCAGAGCCCTCAAGAGCCTCTTCATGGCAGAACTGACCCAGAATCATACTGGAAAGGGATTCTGGGAAAAGCAGTTCCAGGCTTTTCCCCTGAGTAGACGGGGTAAGGATGCTGCTGAGCTGATCACAGACAGTCCTGACTATCTACATATATATCTAGTCCACGTGGACCTATATTCATTCATTTATTCATTCATTCATTGAATGAATAGTAAATGAGGACCTGCTATCCATCAGAGTCGCACGTGTACTAGTCTTGTTTCTCTAAGACTTTTGAGCACAGGTCTGTATCTTCTACTTTTTTTCTATCTTCCACAGTATGTGACACAATTCTGGGCAAACAAACATGTGCACCGGTTCCCTGTTAACTGCCCTTGAACATGGCTAGCCTGCTATTTCCAGCAAAAGGCACTGACGTGAAAAACATCATTTACATATATCTATAGAGAGAGACAGATATTCGTTTATGCATGTTGTGTATACCTTAGTATTATAAAGGTAAAACATGTTAATTAAAGACAATTTGAAAAAAACTTATTAAAATTTAAAAATTGCTTTTTAGTTCAACATTAGCTACCAAAATAATTTTCCAACATTTTAGTTTATTTGCCTTTTCAGTTATTTTTTCTGTTTTTTCCTCTAGATAGTGTTAATATATTCTTATTTCTTTATATCTTTTTCTTTTAATATTATAGGTATTTTAATGCTATTATATTTGTAAACATTTTAATGACTGAGGAGCGGTCCCTTGAGCAGATTCATTATTATTACTGATCCATTGTTCTCCTGGTGGTGGGAGTTCAGATCATTTCCAGTATCAGGTATTGTTTAGACCTTTGCTTCCTTTGGAAGTTGGTTGATAGGGCGGGTCCTGGGTGGGTCTGGGTTTGCATCTCCTTCCTCCTTCTCCCAGCCTTTGAGATGACCACGAGGGCTAGAGGGTGTTGTTGGCTCAGGCTGTTAGTACACAGTGTTGGAAAAACTCCCCATTTCTTGGCCAGAATGGATGTCTTAGTCCCCCAGGGACCCTCACTTTAGTGCAGTGGAAGGAATCTATGCATGCATGGCAAAGAGGAAACCTGGCTTCCAGTCCTGGCTCTGCGAGTTGGCTGCTGTGTGACACTGGGTGTGTGTCCTCACCTCTGTGACCCCAGTTTTCCCTCATTTGGGAGAATGACTGACTAGTCTGTGGACCCTTCCAGCTCTTCTGCTCTTTAGATTGATCTCATCTATAACCTGCCTAGGGATGAAGAGCTATCATGGTTCTCTCCTCTCATTCTGAATTGTCAGGCTAGCTTCTCTTCCTGGGGATGTCCTGTGGCTCAGCTCAGGGGCTAAGATCCCTCCCACCTCCCTGCCTTCTCCCAGGCTGTTTCTTTCCTCCACCTGCGTTGCCTTTCTGCCCAATTCAAAGATGATGATTGTGCAGGGCCCAGCTCAGGGGGCCCATTTTCCTTTCCCTTCTCCTGTTCAGTACAAAATGCAGCCCAGATGTTCCCTCCTTGAAGAATCTCCTCTAACTGTGTGGCCTGCTGCAACTCAGCGTCGTCCTGACCTCTGCAGTAGCACTTACCATGCCCCAACTGAGGGTGAGTTCCTGGAGGCACACGCCACGCCCCCCTCATCTACAGCAAGGTGCCTGGCACTCGGTGGGTGTCGTGACTGTGTTGAATAAGGGATCAAAGTGCACCACCCCGAGCGAGCTGGCTGTGCTCTGACGAGTCTGGAGCTGGAAGAATAAGCACAAGCCACCCTTCCTCAATTCAAAAACAGGAAAGCGACTTCTGGAGGTTTCTTTGTCTCCCTTGTGGAGCAGGATACACATTTTTAGTGCTGAGTGTTCCAAGCTGAAGAGCTTTACCTTCTTGGAGCTATCCATTTCCAGCACCTCTTTAAATACTAATGAGAGTCTCTCCCTGGGGGTATCTGGCAGATTCAGCTTCACTCTGAATAATTTCCATCCTCTTTGTGCGGAGAGGCAGGTTTGCAGTGGGGGTGTTACCTGGATGCTCTGAAGTCCTCTGATCGACACTCAAAGGTGTCTCATTTCACTACTTTCCACTTGCTTTCTTTGCAGGGCTGGCCCTCTCACTGTGACAAAAGGCTGCTCCTGGTGCACCTCCCTTCCAGGAATGGAGGTAGAAAGAAAACCGAATAGCATTGACTCATTTAATCTCCATGACCACCTTTTCAGGTAGGTTTTATCATTTCCATTCTACCAGATGAGGAAGCTGAGACTCAGAGAACTTTATTAACTTGTCCCGTCACAAAGGCTAAGTGGCAGAGGTGGGATTCAAACACCAGCTTGGGTCCAAATTCCATGGTACCGCCCAGATAAGATCAACACTACCCTTTACTGAGGCTTCACAGGGGCAGGATCTGTGCTAAATAGGACTTTACACATATTAGTTCATTTACTTTATATGAGCCCTTGCTGAATCCCCTGAGGCAGCTATATTAGCCCCATTTTGCAGGAAGATGAAGAAACTGGGGCACAAGAGAGTAAGCAGCTGGTGCAAGGTCACAAGGCTCCTTGTGGCTCACCCTCATTCATGTCTGACTCGGAGTCTGTCCCTGCCTGTGCCTCTTCCTCCCCTGCCTGGCATCTTCACTCACGCAAAGGCAAGAGCTGCATTCAGGTCCCTATGCCCTGTGGCTCAGTAAGTATTTGTTCCAGTAAGAATGATACGGTACAGCCTGTAGCCACTCAGCAGGCCCCACCAGGGGGTCTCTGTGGATGCTGAGTCTTGTACTCCAGAGATCTTTGTCAGTGAGCCACACGGCTCCGGTCTGATGGACGGTACACCTCTCCTCCCCGAGTAGCCCTGAAGGCTCTGGTGGAGTAGAATTTTCCTGTGTGCAGGCTGCATCTCCAACATCCTGGTGCTTGGGGGGATGTTTAGACTACTCTCATGGATAACAGCAATGCCTCCTAACTGGCCTCTCAGAAACTCTTTTGCCTCCCTCCAGCTCATTCACCACACAAGAGCAAGAATGATCATTAAAAAATACAAAGCTGATGATGTCACTGGTGATGAGGACTTTTAGGCTGCTTAATTTTAAAACGGTTTATGATGAGGATTTTAGGCTGGTTACTTTTAAAACTGCAGATGAGAAGCAGGCTCCGAGGACTGGAATTTTGCTTGCCCTTTTGAGACATTTGCGTTTGTGAAGGAAGGGGGGATGACCTTGTAGGGACCTGAAATTGGCCACCCCAGGATATGTCTCTTTGGCATCAGGATTGTTTTGGGCTGATTGCTTTCGATAAACTGGGACAGGGAAGGAGGCTCTGGGGAATGGAACTTGCCCTTGTTGGGACACATTTACATTTGTAAGGTAAATCTCTATCTGTAAAAGGTGCCTCCCTCTCTGTACCAGGAAGAAGAGGAAAGATGACCTTGTCCCTAGAAGCTCTTAATGGGGAAGGCAAGAACTTAAGTTGGTTGCTGTCTGGCAATCTCATGTAACTGGTTTAGGGTGGTGGCGTCTAACCTTTCTAACCTTTACTTAATCCGATTTGATTCTTGTCTAAAAGTCATGGGATCACCCAATGACCAGACCCCACCTGCACTGATACCATTTTAACTTTTTTTCATGTTCTTTCCTTTGTCTTGTAAAGAGATGAATCATATACCTATGCCTTAAATTTAGCCCTAACCCTCAACTCGGGGCAGCAACAGGAGCTCTGACTGCCTGTGGGTCCTGTCCCCACGCACCAGCTCTTCCTGCCCATGGGTCCTGTCCCCATGCCAGTGTGGGCAGCAGAAGCGGCGGCAGCAGAAACTCTGACTGCCCATGGGTCATGTCCCCATGCTATTCTACTCTCTAAATAAAAGAGCACTACTGCCAGATCTTAAGAGTCTAAGAAATCTTTCTTTCGACTCCTCGGCTCACCGACCCCGCATCAACTGGTGCCCTGCGAACACTTTCATGTCTTCCCATTGCTCTTAAGATAATGGCCCAAATCCTTAACTTGACCATGGCGTGAGAATGCCTGTCTGCCCTCCCTGTGCTTCAACCGCACTGATCTTTGAGTTTCTTGGTTTGCTCTTTTCCACCTTAGGACCTGTTGCTCTTGGTACTCCTTTATTATAAAATATTCGCTATGCGATCCCAGGCCCACTTCTCATCTTTTAAATCTTGGCTTGAATGTCCCTTCCTCAGAGAAGCAGCCCTGACTCCTGCAGAGCTACACCAGTTCCTCTTGTAGCTCCTTGTACTTCACTGTCATGGTATTTACCGCCACTTATCATCATGGCTTTATTAGCGTAAGCATTGTTTCAGCATCGACCCCTCATCGACATATAAGTTCCCTCATGGGCCAGGGACCTCTTTGTCCTGGACTCCCAGCATCCAGCATCAGGCCATATGTGTGGCAGGCCTTTGAGACATATTTCTTGAGTAAAAGTTAGATATTAAGGATTGGGCTATTCATACCTTGGGAGCTATTTTGTGCAGGCTGCTGAATTCTCCTAGCCTGATTTTACAGAAGCTCTTCTTGAAAACTTTCCCTCATCCAAATGAAGTTGTCCTTACACTGAATATCAGGGCCATGGGGAACACACAACTGGAAAGCATTTCTTCTTGTAATTAAATCATAGCTAATGAAATAAGTGACACGTTGATCTGTCTCACTGCTCACATATCTGGGACTGTGTGTTGCATACTAATTTCTGGTCCAAATCAATTAAAGTCCTTTGGAAAAAACTCTTTCCCCCTTTAGAGCAGAAGTAAGAGAAATGTTCAGAGAATCATGGAAGACAGTTGGGTTTTTGCAGAGAGATTGGAAGGGACTGTGGGGACCTGGAATTGGCCACCCCAAGATATGTCTCTTTGGCATCAGGATTATTTGAGGCTGATTGCTTTTGATAAACTGGGACAGGGAAGGAGGCTCTGAGGAATGGAACTTGCCCTTCCTTAGGACACATTTACATTTGTAAGGTAAATCTCTATCTGTAAAAGCTGCCTCCCTCTCTGTACCAGGAAGAAGAAAGGAGATGACCTTCTCTCTAAAAACTCTTAATCAATACCAAAGGCAAGGACTTAAAATCTGCATTTTATTGTGCTAGTCTGGTAACCTCCTGTAACTAACTTCCCTCCCCCTCCCAACGCTGGCATTTCTTAAGGATTAAGCATCTTTCCTTAGGCTAGGAACTAATTGCCGAGCTCACCTGTGACCGCCCAGCTCCAGACATAGACTTGCCGCCTGCTACGCCCACCGAGATAGCAGACCATTACCTGCTGTGTCCATCAAGCACTGTGCTGACAGGGCAATCTTGTGACTATTGTGGGAGGGACGTTTCAGTCACATGTGAAACACCACGTTTGGGGGTATATAACCACTCTGTGCACCCCACTTCTTCGGTGCCCTTTCTTCCTTTGGGAAGAAAGGCCCCGGGCCATGGTTGCTCATAAAGCTTTGTTTAATTTTCTCTTGCTATTCTGTCTCATGTGAATTTAATTCGTTCTCCGGCCAGACGAACCCCCATTTGGGAAGAGGAAATGTCTTCCTCCCCTACAGGACAGAGGGAAGGAATCTGCAGGTCCCGTGGCTCTGCTTCCACCCAGTTGTAGCTGAAAGAGAGGCAGATGAGTAAGATCTGGGTTCTGAAACTTTAATCAGCTCAGATTGGAAACATACCTCACAATCCCCCGTGAGTCGTCTCAGCCCTTAGGAGAGGCAAGTAACAAGAAAACAATTGGATTGTAGGGATTTAGTCTAAACAATCAGCATCTCCGAGCTGTCCCATGTCTAATACAGCATCAGTGCAATTTTCTTCCTTCTCCAGCTACAGTATCAGGTGGGGAGGACTGATGTTGGTCATGAGGACCTGGAGGCCTTAGAGCATCCTCAGATACCTGGGAATGGCTTGATTGCATGCAGAATGCTCTTACTGAGGCAGGAAAGTACAATATATATCAAGATTCATGAAAATTTTACATTTTTTCTTGCTAATTTCTACATCAGGAAACCCGTCTTTAGTTCATACAAAGAGGGCCCAGGCACAGTGTCTGTTCTTGAGGCCTGTGCCTCGTGCAGAATGTAGAAAGTGCTCTAGACAAGGCATGATTGTGGGTTTAAAGGTGCTGTAATAAAATGTACCCCACCTGCTACTATATATGTGTGTCTCTCATAGTAGCTGGGCTTTATTGGGTCATATCCTGATAGGATTAGTCAACTTAATGTATAGAAAAAGGCCCTGTATGTAAAGTGAGAGCTCTCTGAAGATATTCTCACTGTCAGTCAGCTGTGGAAGAAGCAGGGTTCTCAGACAGGAAAGCGAACCTTAGAAAGCATTAGGCAGGAGGGAGGGACAACTCCTATCTTTCGCAGGGCCTCTCTTGGTTCTTTTAAGGCCTTAAGATGTCTAGAATGACCTGTGGGTACTTACTATGTGTGTCAGGTATTGGGCTAAGTTTCTTTATATAGTACTTTGTTTAATACTCCTAGCCCTAAAATGGAAGGAGTTATCTCCATTTTCACAGAAGGACAGGCAGACTCTGAGAGGTGAAGAGTTTCCTGGCTAGTGAGGGATGGTCTTGGACTTCCAAACAAGGTCTGTTTTAACACATAGGCTGCACTTTTATCCATGGAGCTATTAAGCATGCTGGGTAGTGGGTGTGAAGCAGTGATGTGCTGGTAACTGTTTAACAACCAGCTCTCAAAAGTACATAAATAAATAACACCCTGACTTTTGCCAATTTCTGTTATGTAAATATTCCCACCATGGCCAATTTCAAGCTACCAAAATGGAGACACTTGAGCTGGCACCAGCACACCTCTAGAGTGAAGTCACCCACACCATAGAAACAAGCTAGAAGCTTTTATGCGGGGGTGGGGGGGGGAGGGAGGGGGAGGGGTGAGGGGTGGGGGACAGGGGTATACAGGCTCTAGATAATCAAGCCTGTTATTGAGCTGAGTGAAACCTTGAGAGCTAGTTTATTTAGCTACATATTGCTCTCTTTCTTTGTTGTTTTTCCAGAAGCCTTTACTGAAGCCCTCAATAAATGCCTCTCCTTTCTCAGCTCTACCACAAGGAACTGGGGAAAGGTGGAAGCTCCCCTTTGCTCACCCTCACCAGTCTCAAGTGGTGATACAGAGATGCTTAGTGAGATATTTCCACGGCCCCAGGGAATCTTGGGAAAGTAGGGGCTGTGGCTGCCCCTCCTCTCATGACAGTCTTTTTCGATTTA